GGTACTCACGTTGTCGACTTCGTATTAGCGTTGAAAGTACAGCTGTGCAGTTTTCCCCAAATTTGTGGTTCTCTCTACTTCGCCTTTGACTACTAGGGCGATAAGTAGACATCCTACGTTTTTACCCACATGCAGTTTCTGCTCAACCTAACGTGAATGAACGTGAACCTTGCAAATCACCAACCGCCCCTTTGTGGTCAAGTTATGGATCCACATGTCAGTCTCACAATTTTCAATTTGGTGCACCCAAACAGTCAATTTGAAAAACGACACAGATGTATCATTCTAGTAGCACCATGAACAAGATCCTCTCAATCGCTTCTCTCCTAGCTGCCCTGTTGGTACGTAATGTTTCCGCCCAGCAGCCCGAGCTTCTTCAGAATGCATTTGATGCAATTGACGGAAAGGGGGTTCCTGTTGCAGGTGGCTGGAATAATAAATTGATAGGTGGCGACAATGTGGGACAATACTTTCTTTTTCTTCCAGAACATTGGCTAGCGGTCTTTGGCTCCTTTCCTGAAGCAAGCGAATTGTCTGGAGCAACCTATGAAGTGCGATGGCAACGAAACGGTCAAACCATGGGGGGAGCAACTGTGAGGGTTTGGAAGTCGCAGGAGAGCCGTCCAGAAATTGGTATTCCTGTAGGGTTTGAGCATGGAAGGTTTGATCCTTTTGGAGAATCTGCCAAAGGGCAGTGGGTAAGTTGATGGAGGCTTCCTGTCCATGTGCGCTGCCCATTGTGTGCGTTTGTCTAAAGCTACTTCTGTTTTCACAGCAAACTGGTGATGTCATTTACCCTCTCGTTGGAGCCGAAAATGATGGTGGTGGAAACACAGGTGGCGATCCTCACTTCACTACCTGGAGCAATGAGCACTACGAGTACCATGGACAGTGTGATCTCACCTTGGTCAAGGATGCCGATTTTATCGAAGGCAAGGGATTGGACATTCAAATCCGTACCAAGGTCGTTCGCTTCTGGTCCTATATCAAGTCCGTTGCCATCAAGATTGGAGACGACATTCTTGAGATCGAAGGCTCCCCTAATGCCGATGATGCTGAAGCTCACTACTGGATCAACTACGAGTATCAAGGCGACCTTGACACTTTCGCAGGCTTCCCTGTGACTCAGGAACTTCCCTCTGTTTACAAGCGTCATTACATCATCAAGGTGAACGAGAGTACTTCCATTGTTGTCCAACTTTACAAGGAGTTCGTCCGTGTCAAGTTCAACGGTGACCAATCCGTCTTTGGAAACACTATCGGTCTTCTTGGAAACTACAAGACCGGACAGCTTCTTGCCCGCGATGGATCCACCGTCATGGATGACTTTGCTGAGTTTGGAGACGAATGGCAAGTCCTTCCTTCCGAGCCAAGGCTCTTCCACGAAGTTTCCGAACCTCAATTCCCTGAGCTGTGCATCAAGCCGGAAGATCCCCGCGGAGAACGCAAGCGTCGCTTGGCCGAGTCGTCGATCTCCATTGAAGCCGCTGAAGCCGCCTGTGGATCTGCTTTGACTGACCCTCTTACCATCAAGGACTGCGTCTATGACATCTTGGCCACTCAAGACCTGGATATGGTCGGTGCATTCTAAGCGTCCTATATCATTGATATACCCTTGGAGCAAATTATGTGTGATGCCCTTGGGTGAAAGTACTACATAAGATTAGTGAGTCTATTATTCAATAGCCTTGTTTTAGTGAATGGATTGAATATATTCATTCGTTCATTCATTCGGTATATATAGGCGCGATCTGAGTTTTGCATCGATCCGCATTCCCGCGAACACCGGCCAGAATTCTTTGCTAATGAATTCAAACACATACATATATACGAATAAATGGGATAATGTTTGTATTCGAGCTGCTAGTTAGATTTTAAGATATATATCAGACGCCTGCATCATCCTCATTATAATCCTACCGGTACATCAATAATCATAACGATAGCTGAAGTTGTATACGACCAACAAGCGCATACCGGTACATACATACATACATACACACATGAGCTATCACGTTCTTTCAAATGACTCGACGAGTGTCGAGTTGATGCCATTTACAGCCCTGGAAGAGCAGCAGGAGAATAACGTTGCTGCTAATAATTTGGAAGATTACGCCTATCGGCAATCGAGCAGCATTTTCTTTGCGGGTCAGTGGGAATCCTATGGCTCTAATTTGGAAGAGACGAGGCTGCAATTCTGGAGCAAATGGAATGACATCCAATTTGCCATTACCAGAAGATGGCAATTGCTCTCACAACGTCGTCAGAAGAGGCTTCACGTTGCTTTTGTACTATTGGGAGTATTGGTGATTGTGCTTTCCATTGAGCACGGAGTCAAGACTCTGCATGAAAAACACGTCAAGCCACCTGTCAGTAAAGACATGATGGACGATGATGATTCGGAATGGGTGAACGACAGCAATAATAACGGTAATAATGCCATGAGCATTATTCTTCAGGACGAGCAGGTATATGACATTCCGGTGAATCGTGTTCTTTGTGAGCAAGAGATTCTTCCCTTGTTCGAAATCCTGGATGAAAGCTTGGATCATTTGTGCTTTCAACGAACCGAAATGAAATGTTCCAATGGTGGTGGGGAGGATCAAACTCTATTTGAACGAGATAATGTCTTGTATTATCCCGACGGATCTCTGTTTGATCGTTCGCTCTTGTCTTGGTTTGATTCTTGTCAACCGAAGGCAACAGAAACATGGTCTCCTCTATCGCCCACTTATTCAGACTTTGACAAAGTGTGTCAAGAGGTGGTCGCAATGCAAAACGATGGCCAAGACAGCATCACAAGCACTACACCCACCAGCACCACCAATAATCGATTCTGCTCTACTACTTCCAGTCATGATGTGGATTGGTCCAAGGTACAAGAAACTGTCCCCAAATGTCTCATGACGATTCCTCACAATTGCAACAATTTGAATTGGAAAATATTTCAAGAAGTCATTGGTGGACATTTGAATTGCTGGGAATTTCAAACTGCCTATTTGTATCTTCAACATGACTATGAGACCATGGACGATGGTGATTGGCATCATCATCCACGTATTTGCAAAGGAGGACAATAACATAATCCCATATAATGAATGATGATGGTGATGATGATAGCGCAACTGGGATATACAGTGCTAGTATACTACTATCAAAGGGATAAGTCCATTCATACATAGCTTCTCCATGATACAACACCAAGATATTATTATTAGGATGCAAAAAGGTGATGAAGGACTAACTTAGCTTCATATGATATTCATCAGCAATTAATTTTCATCATATTATTGCATTCATCATCATTGCATTCATCATACAATAACCGAAACCGCATTCGGGTTCTTTACCTTAAGACAGAAGTGGGAAGGCGGCGAAGCAAAAGCAACCGGCAAGGAAAGGAACATATGGATAAGGAAATGATTAAGATGAATCAAGGCGGCAATAAGAATGGTATGACGGAAACATCAGGAAAACAAAGCCCTACAGAGACCTTGGAAGCTTGGAAACAAGTTCATACTCAACTAATCAATGCAGTTCTGGTAGCCAAAGAAGCAATAGCCGCCAAAAAGCTCCAACGCCGGTATTGGATGGAAGAGATCTGTTCCAATTTGAATCCTGAAACTGGCAAATTGAACTCATCTTCGGTGTGGAAGCAACCCGATGTGTCCAATAAGAGCAATAGTAATGGTAGAACCAATAAGACGGCTGCCACCAAAAAGCGCAAACGATCTACGGAGCCAAAAACCAAAAAGTCTGCGGCGGAGAAACGCAAGAAGGGTTCCAAGAAAAAGCCATCGCCCGCCAAGGAAAATGCTTTAGACGACAACGAAGATGACAATAAAGAAGAACAAGTTATGGAGAAAGTCAAGAAGGAAGAGAGCGCAGAAAAATCGCCCTTGTCCAAGAAAAAGAAGAAGAAAGTGGTAAAGAAGGAGTCCCATGATCAAAATGCAGAGGCCAAAGCGCAAGCAGATATTCCAGACAATAAGTCTTTATGCATGTCCATTGATGATGCTGATGATGACGATTCGTCTCCAGATCACTCGGCAATCAAGAATGAAGACAAACATGGCAAGAACATTGATCCCAGAGAAGAATCAGACGAAGAAATGACACCTTTGGAAAAGACGAAGACAACAGGTACGGCCCACCATGACTCCAATCCGAGAGCTAGCCCTTCACCACCAATGCATCCCCACGATTATGGCCCCATGGGCCAGCATAATTGGGGCGCTACTGCTCATCATCCTCATCATCACCACCAGCATCATGATCCATATATGGTAAGTTTCATATCCATTCATGCTGGCTTTGGGATGATCCTACCTGTCGCTAATTATATATTCCCATAATTTGTTTGCTTTATTGTTCAGCCTCCAGGTGGTGGATTTGGAAATCCCCATGCTCCCTATCATCATCCTCACCATGCACCACATCCGCACCATGCACCGCATCAGCATCATATGTCACCATCAGGAATGCACGGTCCTCCTCCTTATGGATCTTATCCTCCCTATGGTGGTCCTCCAACTCATCATCATCATCATCCTCATCATCCACATCACGCTCCTCCTCCCCATATTGCCGCTATGCATCATAATCATCATCATCATGCATCATCATCATCATCATCCTATCCACCACAGCATGCATATGAAATGGGAGGAGGAGGAATAAGTGCTACCATTCCATCTCCACGAGCATCACCCCCTCCAGCATCAGCAGCAGCAGCACATTTACCCTCCAAGAACAATAATACTGCTGCGGACGATGCATCCAGTGAAGATGATGATGAGGAGGAGGAGGAAGAAGAAGAAGACGAAGACGATGATCATGACGATGAATTTACGAATACTAGTCCTGGCGAAAAGGAAGGCAAATCGGAAAAAAAGGTACCGCCCTTGGCCATTTTGGGAGGAGCCGATGATGATGACGACGACGACGAAGAAGAAGAAGACGATGGATAGATTATCCATAATATAATATGATACTGGATAATAGCCATTCCTAAATAATATGCAACGAACTGTCCATTCAAAAAGGGTTGAAAGAACGACATCCGCACTTCGAATCGTGCGCGGGCTATATTAGAATTGCCTGCACTGGAAATAAGGAAAAGGAGAGGCCGAGTCTATTTAGTATTTTAAAAAAGATGATCATTCCTTTTTATTTCATTTCAGCCATTGTGCAGTTATGGTCCCCTCAGAATAAAACAAAATCTTCATAATCGAACAACTTTGGTCTCTTTGGATATCATTTCCTCGTGTGGATGATGAATATTGGAACTAGTCTTGAAGTATCTCGCCTTGTTTGGTGTTGTTATGACAGTTGTCGTTGGCGGTTGTGGTGTCATGCCCTCCTCCTTGCCACCACCAAAAGTACGTTGCGAGTTCATATATGCTGGGTGAGGAAATGCAATGCCTAGCAGAAAAGGACCCGTTGGGTGTTGATCATTGTTATTGTCAGTGGTGGCGGGTGGTGCCGCTGGAGGAGCAGCATGGCGACGAGACTGTGCTTGGCGTTTGTTCCGTAATTTGGCAGCCACCTTGGCCCATGACAGTTCGACCCGCCGTTCATTATTAGCAGTGTTGCCACCAGTCACAAAACTCGATCCGGTGAGAGAGGAAGGATAGTTGATTTCACTGGAGGACATGAATTTGGCCTTGGCCATGTCCACCAATTCCATGACTCCCTTTGAGGTCACAGGCGCCAGCATGTCAAAGAATAGGCTTTCCTCTTGTTGAGGAAGTGGTCGATTTGTTTGGGCATCGTTCACAATGATATCATCTTCGTCCCATGCGGACTCGCCCGCTGTAGATTCCGTGACATTGGAGATATCATTCTTGTTGGGAATCAGCATCTCGGAATATTGCTGATGATCGTCTTGAACGACAATGCCCTCTGTGAAGCAGTCGCATCGTAGACGTTTCCACCATTTGGTGGAATCCATGCTGGTATGAAATGAGGGATGCTCTGATCAAATAGAATGAAGTTTCAGATCAGCAATAGCGTCGTAGGAATACTGTGATGGCGTCAAGTGTCAATCAATCAGCAGTGGTTGGTAGTAAAGATAATGGTCGTATATGATATCTGGACCTGCGTCTGTCTGGGATTGATTCGGATCAACCTTCCAAGCCCCAAATTCCATCCTGGTACTATTCGTTCGCCTTCAAAGACCATAGGATCCAGTTCCAATCTAGAAAATCAGCGTAGGTACATATTCTTGCAGTCTTCAGTGACATCCAACGCATATCACTCCTTCAGTTTGGAGCTTTCACATGGTTTCAAATTTTTCAGTAAGTTCGGGGGAACCGTAAGTTCATTTTCAAAAAGGTTCCCCCTCTAATTGTGGAGAAGAGCAGTTCAATAATTGCAAGATTTCAAATTTTGGGAGTCGGTCTGCCCAGATGTCCATCCAACCACACACTTTCAACTTTGCGCGAATTCATCATGCAGAATCAAAATCACCATACACCGGATCTTCCATTATATTGCACCAGAGTAATAGCAGCATGTACGGGATTCATCCGATAAGAGGATGCTACACCAATCTGGCCATTTGTCTTATTGGAGCTATCATCATAGTACACCCATCACATGCCTTCTTTATTGTACGACAACAACAACAACAACAACAAAATCGCCATCCAGAAGATCCAACAACAGTAAGACTGACTTCAAGTTTTGTGGGCATGGGCAGAACCGATCTATGTCTACGGCCACATCTAAACTTGCGCAATCAGAATCATCGACAATACCCATCCCTGACTAGCCTATTGTTGAGAGCCAGCAGCACCGCCATATCTGGCGATGACGATATCCTCAACGACGACGACGACAATGTGAGCCCAGTAGATGAAGAATCAGCTGATGATATTAATAATGCTGACAAGGATGATCAGGAAACCGTATTGTTGGTACATCAATTTGTCGCCCGCGTTCAAGAATCCATTCACGAACAAACGTTTTCGTCGTTGGTGTTGAGAGGAGTTCCAAAGCCCCAAAAAGCCAAACCGAAAACATCCACCACGACAATGGAATCGAGTTCGACGCTTGGTTCCACAGCCAATTCGCTTCGGGGTGTCATTCGACAAGTCCAAGGACGACTGATAATGAGCAAACAGAAAAACACGGATGAGGTCT